AGTGATAAAAAAATATTTTTATATTCATAAGACAGAAATAAAATAAATCCGAAATTTTATTTTTTAAAAAAATCGGGCGTTACTTTCTGTGGTGACTGTACATTCTTTCACTTATTACTTCTTTGTTTTTATTTAGAAACAAAATTTAAAGTCAGTGACGATAAGAACCAAAATACAAATATACAAAAAAACATTGCTATTAGGTGATAACACAACTTTAGCATCATCATTAATTGCATCCGCCACTAATAAGTAAGACCACCTGCGTGAAAACAAATATATGATTCGTTCCATTAGCGTATACATATACCTGAAGATTTGGTGAAGGAATAAAAAGGAGTTGAACATGCAGATCTTCTTGTTACTTTGAAGATGTTATTTATATTTATTTCTAACTATTACTAAATTCTTAAGATATATACTTTTGTATGATGATATAACAACCATCATAATTTAGCCCAGCACCAATATCAAGTAAGTGTAATGGAAATTAACCATCACGCACGCAATTATATGTCACCAAAAAATACATACCGTACAATCTATCAATAGAATTTTAATTTGTAAGAGTTTTGAACTATGCGTAGTTCCGCAATTTAAAACGTGTATACTATTTTGACTTTGTTTGTTAATCTTATAACTGGACTGTAATCGGGAAAACCTGTGATTATATGGAGTGTGATTATATAAAGTGTGATTATGTATAGGACTGACCATCAAAATTAAAAATTCCTTTCGCTTTGTGATAACTTTGCTTCCTCTTTTAATTCAATCGTCCAAATTATAATGTTCATTTGTATACAATTTCTAATTTATTGATTGATATTATTATCATTAACTAAAGTAAAGTTTATTGTATATAAAACATAGGATGGACTTGTTTATTGTTGCATTTCTTAATTTCTTCTTTCGCGCCAGTATACATATAAGCAGAAATTAAACGTATCGTTTATTTTCATTCAAGTTTGACAAAGTGAGTAAAAAGTCCAAATCTAATATTCCAAACTAAAATTTCCGACAATAGTCCAAGTGCCAATAGAATTATTATAGTTTATTTAATTTGAAGATTTGAACCGAGTTCAAGAAATGTGCTTGAATCAATCCTGAAATTTTTTATTCTAGTTCTTTTTTTTTATTTGTTTCTTTTCAGCTTTTTGAATATCATTATAATAATTACTGACTTTGCCAATGTCTTTTAAAGAGAAGAGCTTTTGTGGTTTGTTTCTTCTTTCGAAAACTTTTATTAAAATAAGTTTATATATTTATAATAAAAAAAATAGATTCTAAGTCTTATCTCTTTTGTCTATATAGTACATTATTTTTGATAATAATTATAATTTCATTATCAGAGTCTTATTTTTAATGTTATGAATTTATTCAAGATTTATGATAATATATTTAATTTTAGAAGCTTATTAGTTTATAATATTTACATAGTCCTTAATTTCACATATTTGTATTTTTTTACTTATATTTTATTAGTCTCTTTTATTAGTTATTTTAATATAAACTTATATTTATTTACGCAAGACATAATTCAAAAAGATCCAGATATTCATTAGCTCTCAATTGTACGGTAAGACTTCCTTTTTTGTCACAAAATTCTGAAATTCCATGTACGCAATTCATAAATAAATTTCTGTGAATTTAAAGCATTTAACGGCAAACTTCAATCAAGTAAAATAATTATAAGTCATACGACAAATTTTAAAATTGATTGATTGTAAAAAATTTTATTATTAATAAACAATGATACATTGTGCGCATGCTAACACAAATGTTGAGTTGCGCTTTATAACGATAGGCGTAAGTTCATTTTCTGCTTTTCTGATTCTTTCAATAATGGTATATCCTGACAAGTTGCATATTAGTAAAAAATTTAGTATATGTTAGGGCTTATATCTGGGACACCTTAATTTTAAATACATGTATAACAACGATTATGTTACTTTGTATGCAAGTGGATTCGGAATGCTCCTTGCTTATTAAACATACGATAAAATCATTAATCCTATGCATGTTTAGTAATAAATAATCTTTTTTTAACAATAAGCGAACTTAAAGATACTATCGATAGTTAGTTTGCCTTGCGACATGCATTATTAATTATTAAATTTAACAAGATTTTCGATCTAAACGAGTTTGAAATTATCAGTAATATCTTGGATAACGAAATTACATGTATTACATGTAGTTTCCTGCAAGACATGCATATAAAAGATTTCTACATTACAAGGTCTTGCAACTTTTTACGAATCGGAAAACGTGGTAGTTTTATTGTGTCAATTGGTCGAATTGCACCATACATGTACATGTATTTGATCTCGTTGTATTAACCAAATTTATAAATAAGCCACGCTTTACACATGTCGTAATAGTCAATTTATTGGGCACACACAGTGTGCATGTATGTCTAACATTATCGCTATTCGTTGATTACAGATAAACCTTCCTAAATGCACCTCTATAAATGCATACCTTCTCTAATGCACGGTGTGATTCAGTTCTAAGCCCTTAAATTGTTTTACTTGCTATAAATGCACACCCGCCATAAATGCATGCTCATGACTGGTCCCAAGGGAGTACATTTAGAGAGGTTTATCTGTACAAGAACGTATAGATCGTAGAAAATGTTATATTTTTATTATTTCTTCATATTTTTCTATTATCTCACTCGAGAATTTTACTTTTTCATATTGTTTATTGTGTCTGCCCATTTTCTTAATTCTTCACACACTTGTGCGGGTTCCACGATTATGACTTTCTTTAAATTATTGAATTTTGCTGATATTAAAGGTTGAACAATTTCAAACTCTTGCAATTTATATACGGAATGAAATTCTATAGAATTTAGATTGATACATTTTGCTAGCCCTTCCAAAGGTCTACATCGAGCAAAGCTGACCACATTAAAGATGACATGTTGGAGAGTGTTCGCCTGTGTGGCCAATGCATCCACAATTAATTGTGTTTTCAGATCTTTTCGATGAGCATAATGCGAAAGCTTAAAGTATTGTAATTCGTTTTGCGCACAAATTAACCTTGCCAGGTTTTCGTCGTCCGTCAAATCTTTTCTATTAGATTGTTTAGCTCTTCGCCAGCGCACGAGATCAATTTCAAGCGAATGCTTTTTAAAAATTGAAAAAGCAAAGTAATATTAGCAAATGATCAAGAAAAATCATTAAAGGTTTTAATTTAATTGTATACCAGTTTTCGGCAATTTCCTGCAGCCCATTGGAATAATAACCCTCTCGGGCATTTACTATCGATATATAATTCTTTCAAGTTCTTTGTTAATTCGAGATACTCTGGATCAACAAAACGTAGAAAAGGATCAAATTTTTTCTCACATGTCAAGTTTAACGAGACAAGTTTCACTTCTTTACGAACAAACAATCTCAGTAACGTCTCAATAATCAAATTCATTAAATTGGTGGTGTCATTTATTTCAACTTTAGCATTTCCCCGATTAGCAATAAGATTTTTCACAGCCACAATCACTCCACAATATTTCAAATGCACCAACACCGATGGGATTTCAAAGATTCGATTTTCAACCTTTGACGGGATTTCAATACCGGCATCCAAAAGTTTTTGTTTTTCAGCGTCGTCTCCATCTTCCAAAAAAGATAAATAAGTTTTGATTATTCGGAAATCGTGAGAATAATGAAATGGTTGTTTCCAGAATGTAAAGATTGTGTTTGCACACCAACGTTTATTTACTAATAATGTCTGTTGTAATGTGTATCTGCCGAGATACTGAAATATATCTTGCAGAGTTTCGTTTGGAAGCGTGGGAACGGGTTTGGTAAATTTGATTATTTTTTTGGTTTCCGACATTTTACCGATACCGATACATGTACATGTAATAATAATAATAAATAATAATAATAATAATAATATCGATAGTTGTTAATATTAAGTTTACGCATTATTCGTTAATTGCGTAACATTAGTAACATTGGGAGCATTAGTCAAACGCCAATAATAATAGTTACATGTTCATGAACATGTACCAGTACGATTACCAACTAACACAGTAAATTAAATCGATCGAAATACAATTGTACATAAATAGCATTAGACACATGTACATGTACAATTTCACGCCAAACTATTTTCTGAACCAGTCAAATTAACACTCTATCTCTATTAATTTTATGGTTCATGATTTTATATGTATTTCGGATCTTTCATGATTTTATTTTTATCAACTTATATTCAAAACAAATTAATTTTATATGGCACTGGTAAATATTTTATTTAGATTTAGCAAAAATCTGTTTATCTATTTAACGTTAATAATATGTAATTTAACATAATACAAAACTTAAAAATCCAAAAAACAGAATAATTCACACTATATTATAGAAGAACGTGTCCAAACGATTGAAGATCTTGATAGAAAGCGAAGAGCTCTATTCCAAGAAATTGATAATACACAGTTTAGTTGGTTTCATATCCGAATATGTATAGGTAAATTTCAAATCGCTGATTTGTTTGAATTATTAAAATGATTACAATTCTAAATCATTTTTGCTATGTTTCTAGTAACTGGTATAGGATTCTTTACAGATGCCTATGACCTATTTGTCATAAACCTGGTATCAGCAATGCTTGGTGTCACATATTTTGGAGGCGATGGCGAAGTGCCAAAGAATATTGATTTAGGCCTGAAAATGTCTGCTGCAGTTGGAACATTGCTCGGACAAATATTTTTTGGATTAGCGGCTGATCGATATGGAAGAAAAAAGGTAATAATGCATTTCATAAGTTTAGCTTGTATTTGTTCCTTTTTTTCTTATAATAATAAATACATGTAACAGATGTATGGATACGAGCTTAGCATAATGATCATTGCTACTCTTGGACAATCTCTCTCTAATTCAACTTTCTCGATGCCAATTTATGTCTCGATAATAATATGGAGAACTATTCTTGGAATAGGGATAGGTGGTGATTATCCTATGTCTGCTGGTAAGTATCGATTCAATTATTTGGATTATTGAATAAAAATAGGAATTTAATAACCTTTAATCGGCCGGCGCATAGTAATAACAAGTGAATTCGCAACAAAGCATAGAAGAGGTGCTATGATGGCAGCTGTATTCTCCACTCAAGGTTTCGGAATATTAACAGCGGCTGTAACTGCGGTCATTGTGCTGGCAATCTATAAAGATGATATTCACAGAGATCCATTGTATGTGGATTATGTATGGCGTATAGTAACCGGAATGGGAGTTATTCCTGCAAGTATAGCACTTTATTATCGATTGACAATACCGGAGACTCCACGCTTTACGATCGATATAGAACGAAATATCGATCAAGCAGCGAATGATTTCCGGTCGGTGGTGAAGCAAGGAAGAGCACCAGTTCCATTGGATGATTATACTTCACCCTATATAGATGTTCCAAAACATAGCTGGCAAGATTTTAAAGAGTATTTCGGAAAATGGGAAAATGCTAAGGTTTTAATCGGGACTAGCCTAAGCTGGTGAATTAACTTTTTCTTTGCACATATATATCATCATCTAGTAAAATATCGAGACAATTAATATATGTTATTTTTTTTTACTAGGTTTTTGCTTGATGTTGCCTTCTATGGAATAGGCTTGAACAACTCGATTATTTTAAATGCAATAGGATTTAGCAATTCCCCACACCCATATGAGCTTTTGTGGAATCTCTCAGTCGGCAATATCCTTGTTACTATGCTTGGTACTGTTCCAGGATATTGGTTTACAGTAATTTTTATAGATAAATGGGGTAGAAAAATGATTCAGCAAATGGGTTTTGCGATCTTAACTGCACTGTTTTTGATTCTTGGTTTTGGGTGAGTGTTTTAATTGAACCTCAATAATTAATGTCTCAACGATTCACTGATGCCTATATTTTATTCGAATTAGCTACAATACGATCAAAGATACATCGCTAGTTATATTCATTACAATTTTTGCGCTCGCTCAGGTAAATAATAAAAACTACGAAATAATCAAAATTATTTCATACTAATGCCCAGTTTTTCAAAAAGTAGTTCTTCCTAAATTTCGGTCCAAATTCGACAACCTTTATTCTACCAGGCGAGGTTTTTCCAACACGTTATCGATCAACGGGACACGGAATCTCGGCAGCATGGGGAAAATTCGGAGCAATTATAGCACAAATAGGCTTCATTCAACTAAAAGATATAGGCGGAGTGAACCAATTTGTGGATCGTTTGCTACAAATTTTCGCGATTTTTATGTTTTTAGGATTCCTAACGACTTATTTCCTAATACCTGAGACGAGACAGAGGTCATTAGAACAATTATCAAAAGAAGAACAAGTGGGATTTGTAAAGGAAAGGATACGACCTGAACCTGCGGTAAAGTTTCCAGAAGATTATTATGATGAATATGATTTCCCTATGCAACAGCAAGTAGTGGCAGGCAGCAGTAGAAATTTTTCTGGATATGACTTCGATCAATAACAACAAAATTATCCTTTAAAGTTTAATGAAATACATGAACTGTGTAAACACGTCCAGATCTGATTTGAATCACGGGTATAGTAGGGAAAAATGTATTGGACCTAATTACATGTATCATTAATATAATCAAAGGCAAGCTGAATACAAACAGTGTGATACTGTATGTGAATTATGTAATTATCCTCATGTTCATTTAGTTTTAAGAGAAAAATATTCATTAATAGATCAATCTTAGTTCGAGTATTAAGAATTTATTTAGCTAAAAAAAGAGTATTGTAAAGTTTTTAAAAGGTCAATGGACAAGAAAATTCTACTTAGAATTTTTCAATGGGAGCGTTTTTAGTATTATTCATAGTAACGATAAATATTTTGTTTCTTTTTAAAAATAAGCCATATTAATGGGGGGGGTGGACATTGTGACTAGTCAGGAACGTAGTTAGGGCTGAGATTAAATATTGGACACACTTATATAGTACATGTAAATATTGTCTTGTATGCAATTAATTTAAATGCTGTATGCAAAACTCAAGTTATATCATAACATTTTTTTACGCTTGAGCGAGCGCATAATTGAAGCGTCCACTTCAGAACATGATTATTGTATCCGAAATATAAATTGCGCCAGTTTGATAAAAACACAATTAGTAACTTAGAATTATCGCTGAAGTTGGCAAAATGAGAAATTTTAATTATAAATTCAAACAATAATTTTAGAAATAAAGAATCAACTATCCGAAACACAGTTCATTGTATTAATACTAATTTTAAAAGGAAATCTTTTCCATGTTATGAATTCGTAAACAAGTTACTGGTGAACATAGTTATAGCGATAGATAAAAGAAATGCGAATAAATGAGTGCCGTATCTGTAAAAAAAAACCGAAAATCTATTATAATATACATGTATACCACTATAAATGCCAGTTGATCTAGTCCAGATTCGATCGATTTGACTGCATTTTTCTTTGATACTATGAAGACTAAAGGGACTACTTGTTGAATATCTTGGTGGTGAAGGAATTCCTAATTCATATTAATTTAATATAAATCTTTACACTCCAGCCTTTTTCAGCTCCCAAAAAAAGCACAAATTTTGGTTTAATTTTATCTGTCACTTTTTTTGGCTTCATCACTTATCCGAGATAAAGTTAGATATAAAACTGCGTTCACCTGAGCATACAATAAGTTCTCTTTAAATGTCCAATTTTGCAAGAATCGAACTATCAGCTGTTATAGTTATGAATTTTTTAACTGTTGAACAAGTTTAAGAGATCTTTCATTTTTGCTAATGAGTAGATGCATGGTATGATTATTAGACAAAAAGTTCTTTTCAAAATATTTGATTAATCTTATTATTTTTATAAATAAGTGCTTTCGAAACCTATTTGTGAGGTAAACGCATTTATTAATCGAAAACGTCTTTTGGAATTTCAAAAGGAGTGGACTTTATGTATAATAAAAATCTTCGATTTATGTAACAAAATAGAAAATTATGATTATGTCTTTAGTTTTTCGTGGTTTCGTAGCGGTAATTTTAATCGTGTTAGCTGACGCTCATTAGCTCGTTTATAGATAAAATGAATTTGAGTATCCATTTTCGGAACGGATAGAATCATCGTTCTCAAAGATTCAATTATTATTTGTTATATTCAAAGTTTTCGAAAAATCAATTGTTTGATCAAAATCACTTGAACTTATAACTTTCCTAGGATATGCAGTAATCCTAACGAAAAGTTTGCATGCATTAAATTGAAATTTATTATTTCGATAAATATACTCTGATATGCCGAACTTAAGTTTCAGTCACTAATCTTTAAATCTATCTAAATTTATGTATTAGACATGTAAAGTAGAAACTGTGAACTTAAATTTGAGGTTTTAATTTTATTACTACGGTTTATACGCTCAAAGTATAAATATAATTATAGCACCATATGGAAAATAATACAAATGTTATTATTAGTTAATAAATTTGGGAGATACATGTATCGATGGTTTTTCGAATAGAACATATCGATGTTTTTTCATATGGCGGCGTTAATCATTAAACATGAGTAAATTAAAATCTGGTGTTACATGCATGACTCGGACGCGCCCAACAATGCATGTTATCAATCTCATCAATCCAATAAAAAATTACGCAAAGTAAATGAATAAATATTCCCACATTCCGAATTCTTTGTAATTCATTCAGCCAATCATTGAAATAATTATGTTATATCAGATAAAGCGGGCGGAATTTCTCAATATAAAAATGGCATATAATCTTGAATTTTCATGAAAAAATGGCCTCATTTATTGCAACAATTATCGACGAGGACAAAGGAGTTGATTCTTCTGATCCTTTCGAACCTAAAGAAACGGTCTTAGAATTTGCTTTACCTTCTACTTCCACGAGCGTCATTAACAATAATAGCGACAATAACAACAATAGTAAACTTTTTGATAATGTTGCCCAAACTTCAGCATTACATAGAAATAACTCAGAATTATCATTAAGAATTCACGCTGCTACACCGCCGCCCTCCCAATCAGTAGTAAATAGCTCAAATACATTGTTGGCTCGTAGCCCGTCTCTCGACCCATCATATCTTCAAACTAGAAGGAAGTCAGATGAAGAAATAAAGAAAAAAGGAAAAAAAGTGCAAGCATTTTATCGAGATCAAAATGATCTCATCGATAATTTGATTACACCCATCAATAGTTTAGAGCAACGTGAGCCATATAATTTAAAGGTGATGAATATTTTAATCAATTTATAAAATAAAAGTTTCCTTCATCACTGAAAGTCATTTGTTATATTAAATTAAAGGTCAAAATAGCAGTCAATGGATCCATGCTTGTCAATATTCTTCTTTTCGGCCTTCAATTATATGCTGCCATCGTATCTTCCTCATTATCCCTATTTGCTACGATGGCTGATTCATTTATGGACATTTTGTCTAATGGTACTCTGGTATATACGACACGAGCAGCGAGTAAAAAAGATCTTGTCAACTATCCAAGTGTAAGTGTTTGTGATGATAGTTTATGATATGAAGATGCTAATATTTAACAAAATACACGTTGTTCCATCAATAAAGGGAAAAGCTAGAATGGAGACTACCGGAATCATCATCTTCTCTACCCTTATGAGCACATTGTCACTTCAGATTATTGTAAGTTTTTTAATTGATTAGTTGTTATAATTCTCAAATTCATCCTTTACAATCATAAATAGATTGAATCAATCAAATCGTTAACTGGTGCTACACATACAAGACCACATTTAACTTTTTGGCCCATTCTTTGCGTCGCTGTTGCGTTAGGTGGATGATTTTTTCTTGTTCATCGTTCATTGATTTATTTATTAATCACACTCAAATAATTTAAGTTTAATTTCGTATCCAGGAGCAAAATTTTGTTTATTCCTTTATTGTTACACTTGCAGAAAATATCCGTCAGCTGCAATCCTTATGTTGGACCATAGAAATGACATGATTATAAATTCGTTTGGCCTGACAATGTCTCTGTTAGGTGATTATATCGTATGGTGGCTTGATTCAGTTGGTGCTATTCTAGTAGCGATTGTAATTCTGCGGAGTTGGGTTTCAACTGCGAGAGGTTATTAATATTTTATATTAATTCTAGTATGCCGTGAAATTACATTTTTTGACTTTGTCTTTTTTTTATTAGAACATGTTCAAATGCTCGTAGGAAAAAGCGCAGATCCAGCAGTATTGCAACATTTAACATACATTGGTAATTTATTATCAACACTATTATTTTTCATACTTTACGACGATGACGACGACGAAATTAATTATTGATCATTTAATAGCTCTCACGCACAACGAAAAAATCTTGCAGGTTGATACATGCCGTGCCTATCACGCCGGAAACAACATCATTGTCGAAGTTGACATTGTGATGGATCGTAATATGCCACTTTGGGAATGTCACGATATCAGCGAAAGCTTACAAGAGAAACTGGAAAGTTTGCCAAATGTTGACCGTGCTTTCGTGCACGTTGACTATGAGACTAGTCATAAACCTGAACACCAAAAACATCAAAAGAGTGATTGATTGTGTGTGTGTGTGTATACTTAAATGAATTCTTTTTTTTTTGTTTTTTTTGCAAAAACAGACTTGTAAAATTGTTATGATGTATTATCAAAAATAATGGATCGATTTTTTTTTTCTTGAACTTTTAAATGGACAATTTCATGAATTTAATTTTATTTGAGGAATCAACATATAAAAGTAAATACAATCTTTAAACTGAGGAAAGACCCTTAGGAACAATTTCAATCCAATAACCATCTGGATCAGCAATAAACGCGATATTATTCATAGTGCCTAACCCGGAGGAAACCATTAGCGTTAAAGCATTTAATTCAAAGTCAAAATTCAGGAATTCGTATAATTTTACCATCTTGAAGTCGCTTGATAAACGTGACTTCTTTCTCTTCAAATCGAGCGCATGCTGCCTCGATATTATCGACAGTTATAGCAAGATGACCGAATCCACGACCAGGATCTTTATTTCCACTGCTATAGTGAAAGTTCTCGTCGTGCTCTGTTCCCCAGTTGCTTTGTAATAAATGAACTTTTTAGATCAAGCAATCAATAGTTCAATTTTTTGATTATCTCAGTGAAAAAATTGGTGCATACTGGGTTAATTCCAATACGGCTTCACGATTGAAAGTATAAGCTTTCCTCGCTTGTTCCGCTTCCGGGAGCTCGCCTTCTGGTACATAGGCGAGGAAGTAAAGTGTAAATTTACCACTCTCATAATCTGCCCGATTGATCAGTCTATTTATTTTTAATAAAACATCACGCAATTTTTCTCATTGAGATGGGAACCAAAAAAAGTTACAGAAAGCCATTTTGTGATCTAAACAAACTTCATTCCAAGAACATCTTGATAAAATTGTAGTGACGCAACCGGATCCTTTACTCTAATCATTGTGTGATTCTAAATTCGACAAAAAAAGCACCGTCGTCGTCATTATCCTTAGCATGCCACAGGTCATAATAAAACGCTATAAAAGATATAAAGAAAAACATCTTACAAAACGATAGGTAGAAATATCTGTGCTCATCTTGATTTTGGGAGTGTTGAAAAAAAAATTCAAAGATGACAAAGTATTCTTTTTATCGCTATATATACACATGTATATAGCTACCGTTACGTCATGGATCATCAAAATATTTCATAGTGTTAACTTTACGGCAATCAATCAAACTAAAAAAGGTTCTTATGAAATGATCAGAATGAACAACTTTGAGCGTTTGCTTTTGATTATCGTTATTCGTTATGTACGGTTTAGTTTGTATCCTTGTTGGGGGGGGGGGGGTTTATTGACCAATCAGAGCAATAAAATTGTAAATGAAAAAAACTACGTAGTAAAAATCATATAATGACAACTATTTCTGTTTACAGCATAATAAAAGTATCTTCTTTATTTAAATAAACCAGAGATTCGCTAGAATAGAATAATTTGTCACAAACAGAATAATTTATAAATAGCAAAGAATTTGTTCAGCTGATCAATAAGAATTCGACGAACGAACACACATCGGATCTGTAATTCCGTGAATTAAATGAGTTTCTATATATGGTCGGATCATAAAGTCCGCTTCGAAGTCTTTGTCTTTTTAACTTACAAATGAGATGACACGACCGTGATCATTGAAAACTTCATAAAATAACTTTAGAATTTTTACCAGGAGAATTTGGTTTTTTTTGACAATTTCTTCTTTTTTGAATAAATCTGAGAATCAAACAATCTTTTCTTTTAAGGATCGTAAGCATGTCTTTATCGCGACTAGATTCCCTTCCAAAAAGTGAGCCACAGCTTACCAAAACTAATAACAAAAGAATCACAAAACGAAACAATCATTCAAGATATAATTTCGATTCATTACCTTCGATTTCCAAATGTCCTATTGATGATAATGACAGCGCAAATGCAGATGACCAATTCTTACTTCGCGAAACTTCTGATCCTAAGTTCTCGCAAAAACCACTTTGTGATCGTTGTGACGTGTCAAAAGAACGAGTGAAAACTCTTAATGAAAGCTTTGGAAAAATTGAGGCTATAATGGATGCGTTAGCCAAAACTACTACTGGAGCTGAATCGTTAAAGAATCATGCGGCAATGCATGAAGGATATTATCCAGATAAATCCGATGAGGAAGAGCAGAGTAAAAATTTTAATCAAGATTTTTCTAATTGTAGTTTTGAAGATTTGAAGAATCTTGCTAACCTTGCATACAGTATTTTTTTTCCGATTGCCGGCAATTCATCATAATCGTAAAAATTTTGCATATCGATATGAAATCATCAATTTTTTAAGTTTCTATATTCTTTTCTTTTGAAATTTAAGTATTATCTTTCCCTTATCTTTCATTTACTCGATTTAAGTATTATTTTATATATTTTAAATATTTATTTCACTTATGTCATCTATACCATACAATATGTCAAATGATTTGATGTAATATAACATTAGATTTAGTAATTAAATATTATACACTATTCTACGATGAATTTAAATAATTTTTTTAGAATAAAAGAGTTCTTTAAGATACTCTTTTAATGAATGGAAAGAATACATGTAATTGTGAAGAATAAATAAAATATAATCGTAATTTCATTATCTAGAAAGTAAAGTTGATACAATCTGACAGAAACGATTAAAGAAAATAAGACTTTCAATACATTTTTTGTTTGAATTAAAATAAATAACAAGCAAATAATACTTGATAAAGCTTCGTAGAAAATCACATTGTAATTGTACATGTATAATACATGTACAATCACTGCGCTAAATTGCTCGAAAAGAATAGATAAGTGCGCCGAGGATCTATTAGCGTTAGATTCTCAGCACATTATCCCTATTGTGAGTGAAGCTGGTATTACCTCTTACAATTCTGTTGAATATTGACGCAGACAGAACAAAGATAAGTCTTGATTCTGTGAGAAAATTCTTTGTCAGTGCGAGTCAAAGTTAAAAATTCTTGATAAGCTCTGCATCTTTTCTTCAATTATCATCGCACATTTTTGCATTCTTCATTCGCTCACTTCCGATAGGTCTGCAAAAGCATTCACTTGAACATACAGAATCTACCTGTAGGAATATTATTTCAAATGAAAAGAATGCAGGTCAAATGATGGATCTCAGAACTTTTGCTATTCCAGTACAGCAACCGATATTCTTGAGTCAATAGATACACTATACAATTATCCTATTGAAGTCTAACTGTATCGATATACGATGAGCTCATCCTAGTATATAATACTTAATAAAGTAATGACTCAAAAATTTTAAAAGCTTAGAGGATTAGAACTATTAACATTAAGAGAACTATTTTTAATTCCAAATTTCATTATTAAATTGCGAAGAGCTCAAAAAACGAAATTCCATATAGTTACAACAGAGATAATTGCTTTAATAGTTGGATACGGATACATTACATGTACATATATATGCATGTTAGAAAATTATTAGCCACTTGAATGCAATTAATTGAGTCAAATAATTTTGATTATATGTAGGATAGCACATTAAAATATTCAGAAGCTGTAAATGAAATTTTGTTTTTAAATTCAAGAAAAACCTCAAGATTATTGTTATCATAGTAACATAAATTTCTTTAATTTCATAATTTTTTGAACTTGAAAAATTCAACCAATCAATCAATCTTTAGAAGACATGTGATTTTGAATAATATAATTGGTGTATCAGTTATAGATTCAGTCATGATTCAACAATATTTTTGCAATGTTCTTGCAATATTTTTGCAATATTTTAAATTAATAAATTTAGCTTTTGATATTATAACCAATCACTTATTCGTGTGATGCAGTAGACATGGTGCAGTAATCATCAATTACTACTAAATTGGACAAATAAGTAATTCTTATTAATTAATCTTATTTATAATTAATTCTAAGATTATTAATGAATAATTAGTCCTGAAATCAATAATAGTTCACAAATAGTTTAATAATGGTTCAAAAATACTTCAAAAATGTTTTAATAATAAATTTCATTTATTTTTATCATTTATTATTTCTTTTTAGAATATATATCTTATCTTTTCATTTTATTTCATCATTTATATTATTATTTAATTTACCACATATATCTTATCTCTTATTTTTACTTATTTATTTATTGATTTTTTGTTCTAAAGATTATAATTATGATCTAGAGTAGTAAATAAGTTTAGTTAGAAACTTATAAAATCTCAAAGATGTATAAATATCTCTGCTTTGAGATCTGAAATAAATATACTTGAATAATAATAATTCAATTATCTTTTGAAAATACTTGAGTTATACTTATCTTGT